GGCGGCCAGCTGAGACAGGCTAATTAGTGGCGGACTTGTATACGGCGAGACTCACAGCCGGGCTGTCCCACCACAGCCCGACAGTCGATCCGAGAGGCGCCACAGAACAACCGTGCCGACCCGAACATGAGCGCCACAGCCCGACCATGCCCCACAGCCCGGCTCCGACCAGCGGCGCAGGTCATAACTCGATGCTCCGACCAGCGCCACAGCCTGACCAGCGCCAAAGAACGACTAGCGCCACAGGCCACAGTCCGACAGTCCAGTTTGACCAGCGTCACAGGCCACAGCCCAACCAGCCCCACAGGCCACAGCCCGTGCAACCGACAGTCGGCCCGACCAGCGCCACAGCTCGACCAGCTGGAAAACAACTCAGCGCCTATCTGACAGCCCACTGCCAGGGTTGTAAGTACAGGTCGCTGCAGCTTGCAGAACAACATGACCCTTGTCGGAGCACTCTAATGAGAGGGACGAGCCGGCGGCTGAGGACGCGACCCGCGGAAGGAGCGACCCCGTCCAGCCAGCGCGGTAACGGGGAGTGGTCTCATTCAACTGAATTTACGAGGATGTTATTATTACATAGACGTATTGATATAAATGGGAAAGGCAATGGGAACGTGTTGTTTTTATATTAAAATTGGTTACACATGTGTTTCGGGAATAATCCCTTGGTCACACCATATAAAAATAACTACCTATATCGAAATACAATCGAGGTCGAACGGGGTCGAATGGGGACGTTCACAGACACAAAAAGGTGTCTGTGAACGTCCCCATTCGACCCCGTTCGACCTCGATTGTATTTCGATATAGGTAGTTATTTTTATATGGTGTGACCAAGGGATTATTCCCGAAACACATGTGTAACCAATTTTAATATAAAAACAACACGTTCCCATTGCCTTTCCCATTTATATCATTACGAGGATGTATTTCGCAATAGCTCAGGCTGCAGGGCTATTTGTGTATCGAAGCTCCATTAGCGTCTGGGCAAGTATGTGTGTAAGATTGGATAAGGTTTGTTTAATTTAGCATATTTCATACCGATTTTAGCGAATGGGGAATACCTTTTATAATTTCATCCTGGTTGTAGGTAGGTATAAACTATCACCAGGGTCTAAATCACCATTTGAGCCAGGGTCAGTAATACATACAGCGTAAGGCATGCTGTATACATTTCACGGAACTAGTCCTTGGGCCATGTTTTTACTGGTGATGTTATCCAGATGGCATACTCGGGAGTTTTATCGCCTTATGGTGGCCTTATGTTATAATTGTGGCCGGTCTCAGCTCATTGGTGTCCCATAGCATATTCTTAGATAACGATTGAAACTGGCGAAGAGTTCACTGCTGTTTATGTGTGCTTTTAAATTACTACCTACAAATCGCCAAGACTACAATGAAACATATTCTTGTAATTATTTTACATATATACATAAATCTCTAGTATCGATGAGGAATGAGAAACAGTTGAAAGAAGATCGCCCACATTGCAGAGCGAAACGATGAGCATGCACACAGCTCACCACTATTGAATAATAAAGGCCGTTGTACACGGGCAACTTCCGCCGGCAACTCTCAGCAATCGGTTGCTCGGCGACTCTGGGCAACCGATCGCCCAGCAACCGGTGGCAGCATGCGAGCAACTCCTAGCAACACCGATGAATTTGCTTTCACATTGCTGACGTCACAATTACGTCACGCCGAGGAACTGGGCGACTCTCGACAACCGGCATTCCAGAGCCCACCGGCAACCGGACGCAGATGTGTTTTGAGGTTTGTGGCGTTGGATATTAAAGTTTTCTACATATTATATATGTATCGATATGTATTAATGATAGCTTGTCTGTGCCATCGTTCGCTAGTGATGCCACCATCTTCTTAAAGGGACCCTCCCGCCTTCAAAAAAGTTAATGAATTGGCATGAAAGTGATGTCGCTCGGTTCAGAAAGAGCAAAAACGAATATCTACCAAATTTCATCGAAAAATATTCACCGGTTTTCAAGATATTAGACTCTTACTTTTGTTTACTTTTTGGGATCTCCGCTGTTCCTATAGCGACTTTATTTGAAAGTGCGGCATTTGTTGCGCGCAAAGCAGCATATACCACCGCGTGTTACAAAACGTTTTAGTCAAACATTTAAAAATCGTTAGATATCTGCGCTGACGTCACACATTCAGAGGGGTATTCCTTTGCATTAGCCCCTCTGAATCAAAATGCTGCAATTTTGAAGTTCAATATTTTCGAGTTAAGGCATTTCTCGATGTTGTGAGTGCCGAAACCGGTAATTGTGAGCCAGGGACCCCATTTTGGCTATCTCAACTCAAATCTAATGTTCAGGTGGGAGGGTCCCTTTAATGCCAAAACGTGGTATTAAAAGTTAAAACAAATATCAAAGGTTGGAGTAGCTTGTGTATGTTGGTTATCTGTGGCATGGGTTGATAATCACTAAAATGATAATTAGTCCAAAGCGATTGTTTTATTGAATGGGTGCTTTCAGGGGTCATACAGCTCCCTTCATGGGCGCAGAAATGCGCTACGAATATTTGCGCCTACGAAGAAATGCGACACGAAATAATGCGACACGAATAAATGCGCCGACGAAGATTTGCGGACGAAGAATTGCGCGACGAAGAAATGCCATACGAAGATTTGTCCTGGAATCTTCAGACTGGGCCCACTAGCTTGCTGTGAGCTCCGACTTATTGAGATCTACTCACTGATGTAGGGCTCCGATATTTGGAATGAGATTTAGCACACCAATACAGGCCCAAGTGGTTAATTTTCTTTAAAACATAAGTAAAAAGGGCCCACTTTCGGTATATATTATGCCCCCAGGTCCCCCCAGAAAATGGAATTAATGGGGCCCGGGGGACGGTCCCCCACGGTTTCTCCGGCACTAATCCGCACCAATAAATCAGAATTGAGACCAATATCCAACCTGTCAAAATCCCTTTCAGATATCCTGACTAGTAATCGGCATTGAAAAATCTAGGAGGACGGTATTTTGTAAATATTTATTTTACCTATTTGCTGCTCCATAGCTGCATGCTCGTACAGCAGAAGCGGCCAGCAACACCGCAGCAACAGCCAGAAAGTTCAAAATATTCAACTTCTCGGCGATCGAGAGCAACAGCTCGTCCATTGGTTATAATTATCGTGACGTCACGCTCAGCGACCGTCGGCGATCGTCGGATGTTGCCGACATATTGGGCAATTTTTGAACAACCCTGAATAGCATTTGGCAGCACTTCAGCAACCCAGAGCAACAGAAAAGGCTGTTGCCGAGCAACCGATTGCTGGGAGTTGCCGACGGGAATTGCCCGTGTACAACGGGCAACTCTTGCCAATATGCACCTTGCAACTAAACTAAATAGAGACCCTTCCTCCCTCAGCAGTCGGTAAAGGCCACTTCTGCCGAACCACGCCACCGCCATGAGCTGGTGAACCGTGTCGGTCGGTTGGTATAACCGCGCATGGTAGCGCCACCGGCGGCCGGGGGCGGCGTCCCGGCGGGCGCACTGCCGGGCGCCGCGCCCGCACGCCACTCGTGCATTACAGGCCGGCGGCCGGCGCCGCAGGCGGTGTCACCGGGTCACCGGCGGGACCTTGGGACGGGGGCGACTCCGGACCGGCGCGGGAGCCCGGCATGGCTGGCCGACCTCTGGAAAGTGTTGCTGGATGGCACGCTCACTGTATCTGTGTCACAGCGTCGTGTAGTTCGCCGGGTGGCGTCGTGTCACGGCTGCTATAGTTGATCATACGGAAGGTGATATTTGAACGGATTTGTGTCCTAGAGCCAAGGCCAGCAAAGGTATGTGGGTGCGTCGCAATGAGCAGCAAAGATGACCATGCGGACAAGGTCGTAGTGTACTCGGCCGGGGGCAGCAGTGGATGCGCTATCCGCTTAGCGCGGTCTAAATGCATGGCCTGCGGGGCTGGCGTCGGGGCCGATAAAATCGAACGGCAGCAGCAGCGCAGAACAGATCGGCTGGCTGATCCCTCTAGGCGAGACTTATCGACGCTTGCCTCAGATTGGCTCGTAGTTGTGTATTGAACGACCGTGGCAAACATGTATATTTTGTATGGGCTCGCGGGTGCGGAGGTAAAGAAATAATGCGTGCAGACTGCAGAGTCGGGACGGTAGGGAAATGCCCACCGGCAAATATGCAGCCTATAGGATAGTACCCAAAGGCTTCAACAGCGCTTACGAAGTTACACTCTCCTCCAGAGCGTGTAGCGAATAGCGGTTTATAAAGTCTTCATTAGTGTTGTTGATGAAAATAGACAGTTTGACTGTACAAATGCAGCAAAGACCTTTCGTTAATCGTTACCATTGATCGTCACTTATCGTTAATCGTTAATCGTCAATCCTTAAATCGTTATCAAGTTAAAATTTGACGCATTAATTGCCAATTATTCATGTGCCATGGGCAATTATTGTGTCAAATTTTAACTTGATAACGATTTAACGAATAACGATTAACTACTTACGATAAATGACGATTTAGGGTAACGATTAACGACAAGTCTTGGCTGCATTTATACACCTCTTCATGAATGCTTTGATATTCCTGTAGCCTTTTCATTTGGGCAATTCTTGGGGGACAAACACTGCACAAACGGCTTGGATATGCCAGTGCATGGCTATTGCCATGATTGAGCTAAGTCATCATGTCCCGGTCCCCCTAGACATGACTGCATTTTAGATAAGGAGAACCGATGCAAATACCATCCAGGAGCTCGTGTGATTCATGCAGAATGCATCTGACATTTGTCAGGAAGGAATCGGGCCTCTTTGTAATTCATCCGGAACGCTGGCTGGCGTTTCGCTGTAACGGTTACAGTCGCTTCGGCTTTACCAGGCATATTTCACTCACATGACGCTGCATGACCTATTGCACACTTTTCCGAGAAAACTAGAAGGCGAACCATACACAAGTGAATGGCATATGGTTCCTGAAGGTTTTCATATCACTCCCCTGTCGGCGGTACTCACTTTGGACGACCGTTTTCCACTTTGGCGAGTTGAGGTTGTCGTCCAGCTCGAAGCCGTTGAGCGACTTGCTGTCTGGGGTGGTGGGCGTGCGCCAGCCGTCCTCGGCCTTCAGGTAGGTGGTGATGGAAGAGTCGGACGTCCGCCGGTTCAGGTCTGCCGGGGCGGACAGCCAGGGCGGGTCAGAACTCAGAGGACAGCCAGGGCGGGTCAGCGGACTGAGCGGATCAGCGGCGGACAGGCTCAGTGGATTGAGCGGATCAGCGGCAGCGCATAGGAGATCGGGGACGGATGCGAGGGACAGATCTCAATACTATTTTTCCTTTTCTTGTTCATGAGAACGTGATTATTAAAAAAAGATGTTGCATATCTGTTTCAAATCAATATCTTGTCGCACAAACAAATGTAAATGAATATATTCCAACGTCCTTATACATTCAACTCATAGGTGCAGGGGACTCCTATGTATTACGACAACCATCTACAACGGAGGACAATAACGGCTATATCGCGCATTTGCGTTGCGTCAGCAGTATTCCTAAACACACATTGGTCTTAGCGAACCACCGGTCGTCTGGTGCTGTACCGGACATTGCCACTGCACAGAGCCGCACCGAGCACACATCAGCGGCGGTGCGTGGGTGGCCGCCGGTCCGGTCCATTTGCGGCCATTAGTGGGGCACCACTCGGCATTCTGGCCAGTTCCGGCAGCGCTACCGTGTCTCGTACAGCGCAGACCAGAGCGGCCGATTGCACTCAGTGGCTGCACCCACACCGATGGGAGCTCCACTGTTCCCGATACCTAATATGTTGGAGCGGCGCCGGCGACCGGTGCCGGAAAACGAAACGGCACCCCTGTTTTCAAAGCAGCGAGAAACTTTCGGAGTCGCGGAGCGTTCTGAGAGATTTATGGTAGTTAAAAGAAGCTGTAACTTTAGTGTTGTTCAGATAATGGTTTAAAAATGTGTCGTAAGTCCGCAGTAGTTTGAATTCAAGCTGCAATGGCTCCCTTTTAAAAACCCTTATATTTTAAAAGCCTTTAAGATGATAAAAGAAGTTTTGCTAATTAGGTACAAATGACGATTTAGCATATTGTTTTTTTTTTTGCTAAAAAAATATATTGAACCCGTTTCCTCAGCTGTAATTGCACCTTAGCCCGGTGGTGATTGCAACCTCAACCGAAGTATATAATTAATTATTAAGTCATGATAAAATTTATTTCTGGGGCCGAAAGAAGGCACTCATGCACAGCGAGTGGGAAAGTTTATTCAGGATCCTGGAAACAATCGATAGCTGGTTCGATGCAATATCTTTAAGACGATTGTGCTTCTTTATAGCTATAGTTTATTTCAGTTTAGTAGCGCTATGGAAAGCAAGCAATATTAGAATCCGGAGGCATCCAGTGGTTTACGAAACAGGCCAATTTCAAGAGATTCTGTAATCTGTTCTGATTAGAACAAACGATATTCGGGATAAGTCGATAGCTATATAGGTACTCACTGCTTCGTTTGAGGAACTGGTTGGCCACCTGGTAGTGTTTGATGACCAGTTTGACGACGGGGCCCGTGTTTTTCAGCACGTTCACCGCCTCATCATGACTGGCCTTGAGCAGGGAGACGCCGTCCACTGGCAAACAAATAGCAATCGGCCTCAGCCTTGGAACGAGCGCTAGCAGACAAACCGACAAAGGGATTGCAAGCATACATATTGACACAAAACCAATGCTATGAAAGGCAAACCAGCTAAATGAGCGATCTTTAGCCTTTGGTAGAGCCTACTTTTCGCCGCATTGTTGAACAGCACATGTGACAAGAAACATTTGTCTGGTTCTCAAATTCAACTTAATTATGCAAAGCCTTCAGCTGGCGCTCAATGACAGCCGTATTGACCTACGATATTGGCCGCGACGTCACGGTAAGGCATTCCGATGAAAATACCGACCGGCAGAGCTCAATCACCTCCGACCAATATCACGACCGGCCCAAATTGGGATCCAGTCGGATTTCGTGGGCGTCATCACGCGATATGAACCACCGATCACGGTGACGTCACTCGTGACGTCATAATTCCTTAGACGCTATCCCACCTCGGAGTATGGCGTCGCCAATGAAAAGCTGGCCCGACTGGTCGGCCGGCTGGCCCCGCATCATCCGCGAAATGAGGATGGGTAGGTGGTGCTCCCGGCCGCCCTTGATGCTGATACCCAGCCCGCTGTAGCCGCCCTTGTGCAGCTCCACCACGCGGGTCTGTGGGCCAGCGGGGTCGGCCGGGGTCAATCGGGGTCAGTCGGGGTCAGTGGGGTCGGCCGAGGTCAATCAGGGTCAGTCGGGGTCAGTGGGGTCGGCCGGGGTCAATCGGGGTCAGCCAGGGTCAGTGGGGTCGGCCGGGGTCGGCCGCGGTCAATCGGGGCCAGTCGGGGTCAGTCGGGGTCAGTGGGGTCGGCCGGGGTCAATCGGGGTCAGTCGGGGTCAGTGGGGTCGGCCGGGGTCAATGGGGTCAGTCAGGGTCAGTGGGGTCGGCCGGGGTCAATGGGGTCAGTCGGGGTCAGTGGGGTCGGCCGGGGTCAATCGGGGTCAGTCAGGGTCAGTCGGGATCAGTGGGGTCGGCCGGGGTCAATGGGGTCAGTCGGGGTCAGTGGGCTCGGCCGGGGTCAATCGGGTCAGTCGGGGTCAGCCGGAGTCGGCCGGGGTCAATGGGGTCAGTCGGGGTCAGTGGGGTCGGCCGAGGTCAAGCGGGGTCAATCGAGGTCAGTGGGGTCGGCCGGGGTCAATGGGGTCAGTCGGGGTCAGTGGAGTCGGCCGGGGTCAATCGGGGTCAGCCAGGGTCAGCCGGAGTCGGCCGCGGTCAGCCCCGGACCCCGGCGCGCTGTGCACGAGTCGCCTAATACCTGAGGATTGGGGGGGGGGGGGATTATCCCGTTAGGTCTATAACAATTAATTAATTAATCCCTAATTAAACCCTAATAATCAGGTACCATACCGACTAGGTCCCGTTGCCGGAACTTATATATTCGGGCCCACGCGTGACAACAGGCTGCATGCAGCGGTTACCCGCGGTGTGAAATAACCAGCGGTGTCATTCTTATAGTGTTTTCCATTTTTAGGTCAGAGTTATTTAAACTGGTGCAGAAGGAAACCAACAGTGTAACTATATACCAGTGTCCTACAGAGCCCTGCGGTACAGTCTAACTACCAGTGCTTACATATACATAGAGCCCTGCGGTGCAGTCTAACTACCAGTGCTTACATATACATAGAGCCCTGCGGTGCAGTCTAACTCCCAGTGTCCGAGAGAGCCCTGCAGTACAGTCTAACTACCAGTGCTTACATATAGAGCCCTGCGGTGCAGTCTAACTCCCAGTGTCCGACAGAGCCCTGCGGTACAGTCTAACTACCAGTGCTTACATATAGAGCCCTGCGGTGAAGTCTAACTTCGGGTGTCCGACAGAGCCCTGCGGTCTTTCTAACTCCCAGTGTCCGACAGAGCCCTGCGGTACAGTCTAACTACCAGTGCTTATAGAGCCCTGCGGTACAGTCTAACTACCAGAGCCCTGCAGTACCTACGGCACCATGCTGGGTATAAGTCACTGATCTCCAATCCTGTCCCTACTTCCTCTTTTCCAACCAAACAAGTCACTGATCTCAAGCCCAGTCTCTACCAACTATCTCCCAGGCGAGGGTGCTGGCGGTGCTCACCTGTGAGTCGACCTCCGTGTCTGTCTCCTCATCCACTTCCTTCTGCAGCGTGATGGTGTCGATGTTGAGCGTCAGCTTCATCGGACACGGCGGCGCCTTGCCGATGCTGACTTTGACTGTTCCTGTGTGAAGCTGCCAACACAAAAGTAGGTAGGTACCCTTTTATTAACCGTGATCCAATTCAACTCATTTCGACCTGGAATAAAAAGATATTGCTGGGAAGCTACATCATACACATTTGTTTGTACTCAATGAAGCTATAAGTAAGCATGCTTTTATTGTTTTGGGACTTAACTGTTCTAGCACATTTCCTGCTGTTCAAAAACACTAACATATATGTTTTGGTTGCACGTCATGCCTACTTTAAGCCTGAGAAGCGAGAGCTTCGACAAATAAGTTACCACTTACGAGCATAAGTCATATGTTGCACTCAATGAACGCCTCTCACTCAGATGAATTGAGCATATGTCATATACGTACCATGTCTGGCGTCTTCGTCAGAGCAGAGTTGCCGCTTGTCGTTCATCAGTTATTTTCCTGGGCTCCGATCTGGAAAACAAAATCGTTCCTATTTCATTGCCCACACATTGCCGCACACTGAGAGCGGAAACGCTTAACACCAGACATGTGCATGGATCCGAGTGATTGATCTATGATCTCAGTGGATCTTGAAGCAAAATGTAAGTTGGGATCTATGATCCCACCGGATCCGGCGTGAAAAATACATCTTGGATCTATGATCTCATATGATCTGACGATAAATTAATAACATGGATCTATGATCTGAGTGGATTCCACCATGCACCACATTTGAAATCATGTTTTAAAGGGTTTCTATGCCAATAAGTGACACAAAACTATGGATAATTACGTGAGATCACATAAAATCACTAAAACAGAACGTTTGTGAGTTGAAACAAGTGCTTTTTGGGATATATGTGTTGACAAAAAATAAGTGAGGATCTATGATCTCACTGGATCTCAAGCAAAAAATGATACTCGGATCTGTGATCCCTACGGATCTCTTGATAAATTATAGAGCTGGATCTATGATCCCGTCGGATCCGAGATCAGGATCCGTGGGATCAGATCCCAGATCCATTTTCTCGGATCCATGCACATGTCTGCTTAACACACAATATCGTGTACCTTTTATCTACAATAGTACCTTTCATCCACATTCCACTGTTCAATGTAGTGCACGATGCAATGTTGCCGTCGCGCTTACGAGCCGCGGTTGTTTGCAGCGGCGCGGCGGGCACATCACATGTGATGGGACAGATAATGAGTAACTGGGCCTGAAAGTAAGCTGAGTCGAGCCAGCAAACCATGGATCTGTCTGAGTCGCTGTGTATCCGACAAATCCGACAAAGAGCGTTACTGCACCGCTTACGGACGATAGCTGATACCTCCTTTGCAGCAAACAAGTGTCTAAATCCTTCTCCAGGCTTAGATGTGAGTGACGCTACCACTGACAACCTCCTCCTCTTGCGTACGTTGAGCAGTTTTCCTTTCCACCATTTTCTGCCCCCGGCGCATCACGTATGGCTATCGATCCCTGGTAGAGCGGCATCTCTGCGCATAATCGGCACTGGCAGTGGGCGCCGAGCCAGCCAGCCGTTCACATTATAACGCGGATATTGGCAAATAACACCGCTGACGGAGACAGAAACCAACACACGGCAGACCGATCTCTTCCTCTATGGTGAAAAGGCAGAAAGCTGTCACTATCTGGTTATAATGAAGCCACTGGTGTCATCGTCTGCCGACACGCGTGTCTCGGCGGCCGGGTGGGCTGCTTGCTGCCCTGACCTCAGAGCTCAGTGGGGGCCCGATCATTGCCGGTCCAGCGCCGTGCCGTCGCCGAGGGTCCGGCGTGCCGCCGTCGGTCGGACTCGATCGGTGCTGACCACTGTAAAGCGCCGTCCGCGCTGACCCGGCGGGGGCGGGGGCGGGGGCGGTGGCGGGGACGGCGCGCTCCGACCCCCGGGCCACCGGCGGCGGTCGATACAGCTGCCGCAGCAGGAAGAGGAAGAAGGGGGAGTGCCGGCCGCCGCGGTCAGACGCCGACGAGCCGAAGGAAGACGCCGCCGTCCAGAACACGACCCAGACATGGAGCTGATAGGCGCACAAAGTGCAGTCCGCAGCACGACCGAGGAATGAGATGATAGGCACACGAGGTGACCACTGTCCAGGTGGCAGCTTGATAAAAGAAGGCAACAACGGTTTGGCGCACATTCTTATCTTTATTAGGGAACTGCTCGAAGTTTATCGCAGTATAAAAAACAATACAATTCACGGAATAAAAAGGAGCGAAAATTCGACACATCTTGTCATTATACATAGACCTTGCGAATGAGTGAATAAATTGATACAATATAAATATATTAATTAGAGGCACGTGATCCTCATGAAAGCAATACTAATGAAAAGTCTGCGATCCAAAATAGGGCGATCCAATCCGGGGATGAACTTAATTAGAACGGCATAAGAGCGGTTCCGGCACGTAAGTACTTATTCAGAAGAATTGTCCAGGGAAAATCTTCATCAATTGATGAATTTGCGAGGCTTTCAGTTTTGTAATAAAAAAAAACGGTTGATAGCTTCCAGTCGAAGAATTGGTCAGGCGTTTGGATGTGCATGGAAAATGGAATCGTACCTCAACCCGCGCATGACTCGGGGCAGAGTTCAGAGTTCCTCTACAGAGGTCCTCCCGTTTTTCGGCAATATCTTCCAAACTGCTGAACGTATCGACACGAATCTTGCGGTACCTTCGGCGGCATTAATTTGACACCTTGTGTCTAAATTTCAATTTTTTAGCGGCCGAAAATGACGTCAGAGTGGCGTCATGTCGGCCGATTTTTATTATGACACAGGCGACATTATTTTTAAAATCTATGAGCAAAATGGACCATAAAACATGCGTCACGTGACCGATACATGATATAAAATTTCCGTAACCTATGATGACCTGGCCTTGACCTGAAAAATCAAAATACAAATTCAGCACCCTCAGGGTATCTAAGGCAGATACCAAGGAGTGCATAAACCAAAAATGAGCCTGCTCAGACTTGTTAGCCGGCGGCCAGAGCCTAACTGGTGAACGAGCCAAAATGCTGATAATTTTTATTTTGACCTGACTTGTGACGTCATCGGTGACCTCGAGGTCACTGAAATTACGTTTCCTTCGACAGTTTTTCCAGGTCTATCAGACACCGTATGAATTTTGACGTTCGACTCAGTAGTTTCGGAGGTAAGAGTAGAGCTGTAGAGCCGAAATGGTTAACCCATTCACTCGCGTTATGGTAGGTAATCGCCCCAGTCATGCACGGGTAAATGAGAAGCAGATCTGTGACGGAAAGCTTGCCACCAAACGGCTTTGCTGAAATTTCCCCAGAATATCTACCTACCAATGAAGCCTGTATCTGCACCCAACATCGTCTCTTTCTACTTCGGTATTTTGCACAAGGAACATTACCTACCTACAGCCGGTTACTTGCACATGAGTGTGTCAATTGAAACTGAAAAAGCGAATAATCATTAACGCGCCGATATAATAGCCGTTTTTACGACAGCTATCTGGTACTTACATATTTGGTTCGCATTTGGTGCAGATTTGGTGTATATTTGGTCAAATTAGGTTCATTGTGTTTCTAAGAAGTTATCAAGTTACCTATCAGTTTGGGTCGAACATTTGCTTACATACCATATTTTTCAATTATCATATATTATTTTCTATTAAAAGGTTGAAATAAGTTCGTTCATAATATGAACACATGTGTTTACAAAGAGATTCGATGCAGATTTGATCAAGTTTGGTGCATTCGCCAGATAACCCGTCGTAAAAACGGCTGATGTATCCTCACAAAACGAGGTGAGGATAGTCCATCGGGGAATAGCATAGAAGCCGGTGCATTTCAATTACAATGGCTCCTTTCTTATGGCCTATCCTGCAAATATCTTCACACCCTCTTCGATCAGACTAGCTCAGACGTCTTTCCCCAATCGCAGGCGGTCGAACTCACCTGCTGAGCGGCAGCGGTGGCAGCGTGGGTTCTCCGTCAGCACAGCATGATCACGCCTCGCTCCCCGGTCAGCGGACCCACCGGCAGCGACTGGCCGTCCGTCTGCGGCGCCCGCCGACCGTCGCCGCCACGCGCGCGCGCCGCCGCCGCCGCCGATCCTCGTCGGTATCGATGTGCAGTGTTTCGTCGGCGAGCGGTGCCATGGAGTGCCCGGTCGGCGGCAGCGTGGCGCGCGGCGCTCCGAGCCGCGGGCCGGGCCGCGCCGGGCGACCGGGCATCGCATTATCTTAGACAATTTAACCCTATTAGTGGCAGGGGGGGTTGTTTTTATCCACCCCTCAGGTTTTTCGGGAATATCTCCGAAACCGCTGAAGCTACGATGCTGAAATTTTCTGACTTTTCCTAAAACTAAATTGGGCACATTCCCTGAAAATTTCAAGTTCATAACTTTACCAGGGGCGGCTCCAGAGCACTGGGAATTGGGGGTCCTATTCGTGAAGCGAGTCATTTGGGCGAAGATCACGATGCTGCACCAGTTTTACGAACAGTGAATGAAAGGTATCATGTGATAACATATACCAGTATAGCGCCTTTTGGGGCGATTAACGGAGCGCGCGAGAGGGTGAGCCTTGCACGTGCGAAATTTCGAGGGGGTACCTCCAACTGACTTGTGCACGGCACCCTACTAACCGGTCTCTAGCGATGTGCCAAATTTGAGCCCAATCGGCCCAGCCGTTCTCGAGATCTGGAAGCGGCACCCTGCACGTGCGCACGTGCAGAATGGGTCCCAACTGACTTGTGCACGGCACCCTACTAACTGGTCCCTAACCGTGTACCAAATTTGAGCGCCATCGGTCCAGCCGTTCTCGAGATCTGGAAACGACCCCTGCACGTGCGCACGTGCAGCAGCACCCCAACTCTGGCACATGGATATGCAGTGCCTAGTGGATGCCTACCTACATGCCAACTTTCAGCGCAATCGGCCAAGTAGTTACCGAGATATTGCAACAATTATAAAACTGACACCTCTTCGTTTTGCACGTGGCACGTGCATAAGGGGTCACCCACATGCATCGGGAATAGTCCAATACTTGGTAGAAGGAATGAAGCTACCCTACAAAAATTACCCCGTGTAAATCGGTCAAGTGGTTGCTGAGATATAAGCCTCGCAAAAGCGTCCGCACGGCCGGCCGGCCGGCCGGCCGGCCGCTCATACTCAGAAATTTCCGTTAATCTAAGGAAAGACTACAGGGTGTCCCATAAGTTCGTTCTCACCTAAATTTTACGTTTTTAGGCTCTCTTGCTTAAAGGCACGCTGAAATTGGTTCGTAACTGAGCTTACGTGGTTGCCATGGCTGGTAGAAATATGCTCCACAATAGCTAATTTCTGTAGACAAAATAGTTTTTGCTATAGAGCCCGCTTCCTACAGAGACGGCTAACGCCGCAACATAGAGGTCTCCGATACGGGTACGTCTCAGTATTTAGTCAGCACGTGACCATTCGCGACGATTGAGGGTGATTGAGGCCTACCAGTCTGTAGCCAATGTCCATCGCTAGCTGGACGCACAGTCAGCAAGTGACACCGATGATTTGTCGGGAGTCAGTCACTGCAAGTTTATCCTCTTTCCAGTCAGCCCTCAGGAGTGAGCCAAGTGGCCAAAACTGTGTGGCGCCAGTGGCCATCAAAAAGGTCAAAGGGTTACAAAGTTTGTAAGCAGACTTTTCAGGATGGATTACCAGCTGTCTAAGAGTGTTCTTTCGGGGTACATAACTCAAGGTGACTTAAGCTTTGCTTACCGGAGGACTCAAAACAGTCAAAAACGTCTTAAAATGGCCAAACATGAGTTTCGTTATGCCTGAGGCTAAACAAAACAGAGGGCTGATGACATCGACTAGGTCATCAGGACTAACTAGTCCACGTTCGAAAGGAAACACCCGTCCAAACCCGAAAACAACCCCATAAGGGCGAAGGAGGAGGCCTCCGTTTCGTCCCGTTATGTTCCTATGCAAAAGGTCAGGGTCACTGTGTTGTGGGATTATAGGCGTTCTGGAGTTGACCAAGTTGCAAGTGGCAACCCAGAAACAGTTTTGGGAAGCAGAATGCTTTTCCAAGAACATCTAGGAGGAGTTTCAGCCCTCAAGCTGAACTCGAACCGCGAGTATGAACATATTTATAGAGGAGAAAATGGCATCCGGGAGGTCGTAGGCCCATCTTCAGGCAAGACAGTGCATCAGTGCACAGGTCAAGCAAAGCTTAAAAGCGGTGCAAGGAGACTGTGACAGGCATTTGTGGCAAGATCACATGCCAGGCACCTCATTGGATCAAAATTTCATAAAAATTTGTTGGTTATGCTGAAATTGAGGCTCGTCGAAGCGTAGCGCTGTTCCAGCCTCGAGGAGCTCACGGCGCATGTCAAGTCAGTCTGGGTTAACTTTAAGCCTACTATGCAGCCAAACATGCCGGTTGGCATGCTGCAGCATGTATTCATGTGTTTGCCTATTAAATGAGGAGCCTATTGAGGGGTCATAAATATATTAAAACGCAATGTACTCTGTTTCACATGCAAACATAATGTGAGAACGAACTTATGGGACACCCTGTACGCTCGCTTCGCTCGCTCCGTAACAAAGTTATTGTGCATCCTCTTTTGACACGTTTTTGCTATAATAGGCGGATCCAGGCGTCCAAAAAGGGGGGTTATTTTTTACCTCCCAACATAGGTGCCCTGACACCGCCTATGCATGACCAATACAATTTTAGTCGTTCTCTCATAAGAAAATTGTAACATAACAAGACCATTGCCACCCTTTTTAGAAACAGTACCAACAAAAACCTTATTTACTATACTTTTTGTGTACCCCCAATCTCAATGATCTGTATCCGCCTATGATTTTTGAAAATGCATATTTTTAGGATCCATGTGAATTCCTGGTTCATTCTCTATCGATCGGCAAAAGTTGCGTTAAGATTGGTTCAGAAACCTGGCCGTGATAAACAGTCTAAAATGTATCTGCAATTTGCCCGTTTTTACCCCCCTCTACCCCCCTATTGACATTTTTTAATTTTTTTTTTTTTTTAGAAATGTAGATCTCGTTAAGCCAAATCGAATGCCGTTTGAATTTTGAAAATCGGCCGGTTAGATCTCGAGATATCAAGGGGGGGTCGTAAACAGCCCCCCCCTGCCACTAATATGGGGTAGCCAGGAGCCTGCCACTAATAGGGTTAATCATTCTCTCCATTATAACCGATTCTCTCTAGAAGCGCGTCAGGGTTAATGGAAAAATCAATAAAATGCACTCGGAATCCTCCAACGAGTAGCTTCGTATACTAGATCAACCTACTCCACACCAGTGAGACGTATGATCGTACAATTCAAACACTGATCGCTTGAAATTCTCCAGGGACAGGACATGTTTCGACCCTGCAGACGGCGATGGCTGCCCGCTGAGTACGAGTCACAGTCATCACAACGCTGCCACTGACAGACTCAGACTGCTGCGTGTTGTTACGGAGCGAGCGAAGCGAGCGGAGTCTTTGGCAGATTACGGAAATCTCTAAGTATGAGCGGCTGGCCGGCCTTGCGGACGCTTTTGCGAAGCTTATATCTCAGCAACCACTTGACCGATTTACATGCAGTAATTTTTTAGGGTAGCTTCATTCCTTCTACCAAGTATTGGACTATTCCCGATGCATATGGGTGAACCCTTATGCACGTGCCACGTGCAAAACGAAGAGGTGTCAGTTTTGTAACAACTAACAATGGCAATATCTCGGTAACTACTGGGCCGATTGCGCTGAAAGTTGGCATGTAGGTAGGTGTCCACTAGGCAATGCATATCCCATGTGTCACAGTTGGGGTGCTGCTGCACGTGCGCACGTGCAGGGTGCCGCTTTCAGATCTCGAGAACGACTTGGCCGATTGCGCTCAAATTTGGCACATTGCTAGGGACCGATCAGTAGCGTGTAGTGCACAAGTTAGTTGGTGGTACCACTCGCAATTTCGCACGTACTTAAAAGGCCCACTCTCTCGCTCGCTCCCAAAAGGCGTTTTACTGGTGATGATATTAGCCGTTTTCACGACGGGCTATCCGGCGAATGCACCTGATTTGACCAAATCTGCACCTAATTTCTTTTACAGCAAATATCTTCATTTTATGAATTTATTTCAGTGTTTTAATCGATGATGCTCTCTGATAGTATGACAAAGCAGGCATATAAGCAATTAGTGCAACCCTAGCTGATAGCTGCTAAGAGACACACTGAACCTGATTTGACCAGATCTGCACCTAATCTGTACCAGATGTGCACCAAATGTGTACCAGATGGCCGTCGTGAAAACGGCTATTGTTTACGTCATCGTTATGACATTAACCAAAGTTGTCACCACCTCTATCTTTGAGAAGTTGAGAACCCTTGAACAACTAAGCAGGTAAGAGCCATAGGTATTTATTTTGTTACACCAGTATAACGCCTTTTGGGGCGACTAACGGAGCGAGCGAGAGGGTGGGCCTTGCACGTGCGAAATTGCGAGGGGGTACCTCCAACTGACTTGTGCACGGCACCCTACTAACTGGTCTCTAGCGATGTGCCAAATTTGGGCACAATCGGCCCAGCCGTTCTCGAGATCTGGAAGCGGCACCCTGCACGTGCGCACGTGCAAAATGGGTCCCAACTGACTTGTGCACGGCACCCTACTAACCGGTCCCTAACCGTGTACCAAATTTGAGCGCAATCGGTCCAGCCGTTCTCGAGATCTGGAAACGACCCCTGCACGTGCGCACGTGCAGCAACACCCCAAATCTGGCACATGTATATGCAGTGCCTAGTGGGTGCCTACCTACATGCCAACTTTCAGCGCAATCGGCCTTGTAGTTACCGAGATATTGCAACAATTACAAAAGTGACACCTCTTCGTTTTGCACGTGGCACGTGCATAAGGGGTCACCCACATGCATCGGGAATAGTTCAATACTTGGTAGAAGGAATGAAGCTACCCTACAAAAATTACCGCGTGTAAATCGGTCAAGTGGTTGCTGAGATATAAGCCTCGCAAAAGCGTGACCACGGCCGGCCGGCCGGCCGGCCGCTCATACTCAGAAATTTCCGTTAACCCTCGCCGGCCGAGGGGGGGGGGCGGGTGCCGCCCCCCCATAGGGTTTTTTTCGCGATAGCTCCGAACACGCTGGCGATAGAGAGCTGAAACTTGGCATACCTGACCTTTGATCCAAGCCGCATCTTTTGACACCAACCGCATTTTTGGGTCAGGTCAGGTCACTGACCTATGACGTCATAAGTGAACCTCTGCACGGTCTTCAGATGTCGCAACTTCGCAACGCCCTCACTGCCAGAGGAGATGTCACAGGGAAATGAAACTTGCAGGATCTAGTATCCATCATGAGTCTCACAACTTGTATATCTCGGATTTTTCCTAAAGGTCATGTGAGGTCAGGTCATTTTCGTGACCTCACCATTATAAGTCAATGGGGAAAAATGAAAACTGCTATTCTGGCGCCGGGAACGATCTCCAACTATCTCAAGCACACAGAATCGTGATTTGATGCACTCCTTGCAAGGTTAGATGCGTCACTTTTGCAATGTTGACCTTGCGTGACGTCATTTATGACGTCATCAAGGTCATATTAGTTTTTCGTCAATAACTGTTGATCAAATTGAGCTAGCGAGTCGAGAAAGCCACCAATGGACTCAGGAAGACCTGCCGAATCGAATGATATGCGACATGACCCCTTTCGACCAACTTCGTGACCTGGGGGTGCTGACCTGACCTTGACCTGAGGTCAACACCCCAAGTTGACCTGACCCGGACAAAAAGTATATCATTCGACGCGCCTGAGCGAGGCGAACACGATGCTGCCAAAATCGCGGCTCTGCGGCCGTTTTTTGCGAAGTTATTCACCAAAAACTGAACCGTACCCTGGGGCACTTGACCTGACCTCAGAGGTCACCGGTTGACCTAGGACCTTAAAATCGGGTACCAATCTCTGCGTCTCGTAACGGCGCACACGCTCGTTTTTTCCGCGACGCGCTAGCTCCACCAGGGGCGAAACGGCAAGGGGGGGGTCGTACCCGCCCCCCCCTCGGCCGGCGCGTATGTAGAAAACCAATAGGTCCGGCGAGGGTTAATCTAAGGAAAGACTACGCTCGCTTCGCTCGCTCCGTAACCACATGTCGACTGACCGTACTTTTCAGGCCTGGTTGACCAGAAAGGGGAGAAGAAAATGCCAAGAAAATGCAATGCAATGGGACACTACATTTTCAGCCGCAGCAAGTGCTCCCCGCCAGTCATTTAGCTCTCGGGGCAAAACCGTCGTTTCATCCCGGAGCCAAGCCTTGTCCTTGAGGCTGGGCGGACTCCGGCAGTGTTTGGTCGCTGTATCCGGGCGTCTACCGCGGGCGCTGCCGAGTGACTCTGTGGGCCGTCTGCGCACCGCAGTCAGTTGCCGAGCAGGCGCCGTCTGGGTCGGGTGGTTCCAGCAGAGCTGTGCTGGTGCCTAGCTCCGAGCGTAGAGCCAATCATGGCACCCCCGGCAGGGCTGGTGCCGCTTCTTCTGGCACTCTGGGTCACGCCCGCCGCAGCAGCAGGTAACTACTCCGTGTTCGCTGTCTCGAAGACTGGTGTA